TAAATAAAGGGAGACTAGTATAGATCTATTTCAAGCTATTTAGCTCTCATCAACTAGCCATACCCTTACTGGGATTTGAACCTGGGCTATATTACATACTAGGCAGACATCTTAGCCATTAGGCCACAGGCTCTTATCCATTATCAGCGAAGCCAGGGTGAAAGGTATCTATTAGATTTTTACAACCCCTGGTAAGCCCCAATTATGGGAGGAAGCTGCTTCCATCATCTGTCAATCGGCTCGTCACAAGAGTCCATCACGACAGAAACCCAATATTTTTACTGTTGCCTTTGTTATATTTGTGTTTTGTTTTTTTTTGTGCCTTACTGGGATTTGAACCTGGGCTATGGTTCAAAGGGGTTACCAGGGGTTGTAAAAAAAAAATCCAATAGATACCTTTCACCCTGGCTTCGCTGATAATGGATAAGAGCCTGTGGCCTAATGGCTAAGATGTCTGCCTAGTATGTAATATAGCCCAGGTTCAAATCCCAGTAAGGGTATGGCTAGTTGATGAGAGCTAAATAGCTTGAAATAGATCTATGCTAGTCTCCCTTTATTTATTTATCAGCACAAATACAACATATGTATGTGTATGTGTATGTGTATGTGTATGTGTATATATATACACATACATACATACACATACATGTATATATAATACATATATATATTATATATACATATATTATATGTACATATAATATATGTATATATAATATTTGCCAGTTATTAATGTAGATATTTAGCAAATGTCTTTTCAGTAATGATATGTAGTCAAGTTTTCTTTTTTTAAAAAAAAACCAGCATTTGTTCTCCAGGGGGCAGTGTTTTCTCATTTAAAAATCTGTTTGAGGCAAATTTTTGCACTTAAAAATAATTTCTATGTTATTTATCAAAATAGTTTGCGATATAGAGTAATTTGGGAATAGGTTGTATTATCCTTAAGAATTATATATTCGGATGTCTAAAAAAATAAAAATAAAAACATTTTAGTGACATTTTCTTGGTCTGAAAAGATTTTTTTTCAAAGGAATATCAGCAATTCCTAATATTGCAAAATATAATTTAGTTGATCAGCCCGTTTAGAGCAAGAAACCTGGATAATCAAACATCTTTTACAAAATGGATCTCCAATAAAGCATGTGCTTTAATATTCAACTTAAATTTAACTTACATTAATTTTTTCTGCAGATTTGACTGCATTTTCTCCCATTTGGAATAAAGCAAGATTTAACACTCCTTTTTATTATTTACATAAAGCACTGGGCAATATTTGTATTGTTTCCAAGTGAGGTGTTAGATATATGGTGATGATATAATTTTATAATACTGTTATCTTTGAAAAACTCAAATTGACTATATGCAATCATGTAAAGTTATACTTTGTTTAATTATGTTTCATTAAATAAGCCACAACTGAATGTTTTGCACATAATTTGCAAATTACAGTGATTTAACTAAATTAAGCCAACATCCAAACAAATAAATTTATGATATAATGCAAAGTTAAGTCCAGCCACATTATTATGGTTTTCTTCCTTAGTACAGGACTCTCAGATATTCTAGAAATACAGTACATAAAACTGTAGTAACACTGTGGTAGAAAGCAGTTACCCCATTTAAGAAAAACTGAAGACAAAAGCCACAGAGAACAAAATAACTGTTGAAATCTGGAAACTGGAAACAGCCCTTTGAGATTAGTCAAATGCAAAAAGGGCAAGTTTAATTTGGTGAATGTTATCTCTGTGCAAAACACTTGAACAGTTATATACTTGTATAGTTTGTTCTTGAAACTAAAGAATTGGCAAAAGTCAAGGCATATAAAGTATTAATAGTGTTAGGCGTTAATGCACAAGGCTCAGATGATATGACTCAAATATGATAATGCAAATAAACCCATCCCATCTCTGCAATAAGTAGCCTTCGTTCTCATTTTCACCATAAGCGGGCTGGGTAGGAAGCATGAATGCACACACAGTCGTAATTATTGTGGTGAATGCTATGTTTTTTGTACAGCTTTGTGAAGAATTTGAAATCTAAGTTGTGTTCTCTTCCATTAAGTACAACTATTGTTTCCTGTGAAGTATCCTCTGCTCCCTGCTGAAAATAGGCTATACAGACTTCATGGAATATATTTAATCGAATTAATTGTACTATAGCATACTTCTGTAAGTACAGTTTCCAATAATAGTAATCTATGACTTTAAAAAGCTAATTGGGTTAGCAAAAGTATAATACTAATTATAGATATGTTTGCAGAAGGCACATAATACTATCCCACCATTCTTTGCCCACCACCCTTGATTTTATAATATTCTTATTAGGTAAATATAATTTATGTAACATTCCACTACTCAATTGCCATATCACACCATTAGCTTTGTAATATTCTTCTCCAATACTCAGAACTAAAGTTGATTTTACTTGAACCAAAAGCAACCAGTTAATCTTTCTTGTTCCTATATATGGCATAACAAATTTGCACATCTGATTTAAAAGGAAAAAAAGGAGTATTCTTCTTCTTCTGAAGAAAAACCATTACTTTTCAGTTGCCTTATTTCATAGTTATTAAGAAATGGGTAAAGTAAAAAAAAAACATCATAAATTGTTCTCTTTTTCTTATACTGGGACTTATTTCTTAGTAATGAGAAACATGACCCCAGATTTCAGAAATGATGAACTAAGCTACATCTACGCATCTTCAGGATGTGTATTCATCAGAATGAGAGTTGAAGTTTACTCAGCATGTGGTTTTCCTGCAAGGAAGGCCTCTATCACAGGAAAGCCTCAAAGAGGCAACATAGATCCGCATTTACCGGAAGCTTATTTGCTTTCTCAGGCAATAGCAGTTTAATTCTTTGCCACAACACCAACTGCTGGCATTGTAGCACAACAGGAAAAGTCTCTCAGAAAACATGTATACTATAAATCTATCTGTTCTTCACTTGATTATCTTCATAAGGCAAACTTCGCATTTCTTTGAAAATTGCTGTTTTGTCAATCAGAATTCAGGTCATCCAAATGAATCCATTTGGCTATATAGATGACAGCATTTTTCAGCTGGGACAAACCTTATTATAAGTAGTTCTGCAGTATTTTTCTTGATTACCTTGTAGCTCAGTTGCTGTAGTCATATTTATTTACTTATTTTATGTGACCTCCTAAATCACATAATGAATCTAGGCAGCTGACAATAAAATAGATAAAATGCATAATATAAACATAAAAACACATAGCAGCCAAGCATCACAAAATGATCATCAACAAAGTCAAGAGAAAGTCTCTATTGTATACCTGGGGCCCCAGGTCCAGAACCAACTTTTCAAAGCTTTGTGAAAGTCAGGATTGGAGCTAACCTAATCTCAAAGGGAACTTTTTCCAAATTGTATATGCCATGGTAGAAAATGTTCTCTTCCTGAGCCCCACCACCACCACCAGCTGACAGACCTTACCATACCCCTTCTGCAATGCCAGGTGGAATGGGTAGAAGCAATTGGGATGAGACAGTCCCACAGGTTGCCTGGTAACAAATCATGAAAGGATGTAAATTAACAGTACAGGTAGTCTTCGATTTACAACAACTTGCTTAGTGACCATTCAAAGTTACAACAGCACTGAAATGAGTGACATGACATTTTCACACTTATGACCGTTGCGGTATTCCCATTCACATGATTTATATTCAGATGCTTAACAACGGACTCATTTATGATGGTTGAAATGTCCTGGAATCATATGATCACC